GTTGAACCTTTATTTAGTTAGCAGAGCTGGAATTCACTTGTCAAGAAGTATACTTATTTGTTCTGATGTATGGTTGTTAAATACTAACATAAACCCATTTCTAAATAATAAATGATTTTTTATTTGCTCACAAGTGAAGGTTTTATTTTAGAATGAAGCATCTAAAATACATGAAATAAATAAATTTTAAATAATGCTTTTTTTCATCCATGGGACGAAGCCAAACCTGCTAAGTTTCAATGGTATATTGTTCCATATGTCAGCATACTGTTTCTCCTATGAAATAAATGACCAATTTGAGCTTTTTCAAACAACTCTCAGCCTTGAAAATTCTCTTCTTATGGAAGTGAAGCGTCTGGTCACTGTGCCACTCTGCCACCTGTTGCACTCAAAAGCAATACTTTCAGTTCTGCTCTGAAAAATGACTCAGAAGTATGGCGTTGACTTCCATGTTCCTAGCTCTACAGATTCATTCAGAGTGAAGGAGAGTTCTTTTCTTCTCACATGCATCATCACCAGTAACACAAGGTCTACAGGCCAAATCCTGTCTTCCTGTACATGATCTCACTGCCTTCAAGGACGGCAGAATATTTGGCCTGCAGATTTTGTATTACTCGTGATGCTACATAAGGAAAAGAATTTGAAGTAACTTTCAGCTTACAGATTGATGTTTGATGGGGTTTTTTGGTCATATAATTAGGACAGAACTATACATCAAGGTGCAGCTCATGTTAAATAACAGTGTTTGTAAATAGGGAAGAGAAATTAGACTTCTCAGTAAGGTCCCAGGATTTTCTGCCTTTCTAAAACCAGCTCAATACACTGATATTACACTTTAAAATACTTTTCCATGATCTTTATGGTCATTCATTCAAGCTGCACATATTGCTTTATGTTCAATTAACTATTACTCACTTGTTGTTTTGGCTCCAATCACAACCAAAAACTGCAGCTGGATGTTTGTATTTGTGAAGAACTTTGCCATCAATGGTTCTAATAATACTGAAATAAATTACAATATGGTAATAAGAAAAAATCAACATAGAATCATCGAATACTAGAACTAAACTTCAAGAGATCATCAAGATCTGTTGCCCTACCCTCGTGGCAGAACCAAGCACCATCTAGATCATCCCTGATAGATGTCCATCTAACCTGCTCTTAAATATCTCCAACGATGGAGATTCCACAACCTTCCGAGACAATTTATTCCAGTGTTTAACAGCCCTGACAGTTAGGAAGATTTTCCTAATGTCCAACCTAAGCCCCTCCCTTGAAACAATTTAAGCCCATTGCTTCTTATCCTATCATCACAGGCCAATGAGACCAATTTTTCTCCCTCCTCCTAGTAATATCCTTTTAGGTACTTGAAAACCACTATCATGTCACCTCTCAGTCTTCTCTTTTCTAAACTAAACAAATCCAGTACTTTTGGTCTTCCCTCATAGCTCATGTTTTCTAGATCTTTAATCATTTTTGTTGCTCTTCTCTGGACCCTTTCCAATTTCTCAGTAGGACAATACAGAGATTTTGTGCATCTATAATAAGCACAAGGAGCCAGACTGCAGAAGTGCACAAATGAAAAAAGAACAAAATAAGCTTACCCATCCTTGCAGCCACCACAAAGCTCCGCAGTTATAGTTACTATGCATCCTCAAATACAAGGGTTGCTTACAGGTACCTTTTTCTCGAAGACACAATATCATAGAACTGAAGGGTTGGAAGGAATTGCAAGGGCCATCTTATCTGCCAACATGCATAATTTATTGTGTCTAAAACAGCCTAGACAGATGGCTATCCAGACTCTTTTTGAAAACCTCCAGTGAAAGAGCTTCCTTGACTTCCCTAGTCAAGTGTGGCACACTTGATTCATATCACACTTTCCTTGGTACCCTTAGGGGGACTCGAGAGAAGTCTCGGGGGGGGGGGAGGTACGTGAACACAACTGAAATTTGGAGAAAACTGATTTTTTTTTTAATTTTACAGCATTTTATTATCTTTTGTACTTTTTACACCCAAAAATTGTATTGCCTCCCCAGCTACGATTAAGTTGTTTAAACAAAAGTGTTGCAACTGTAGATACTGGGGGCACAGTAATTCCTCATTTAACACTATCTCGGGGGGGGGGGAGGTACGTGAACACAACTGAAATTTGGAGAAAACTGATTTTTTTTTTAATTTTACAGCATTTTATTATCTTTTGTACTTTTTACACCCAAAAATTGTATTGCCTCCCCAGCTACGATTAAGTTGTTTAAACAAAAGTGTTGCAACTGTAGATACTGGGGGCACAGTAATTCCTCATTTAACACTATATAGATGCGTTTCTGAAAATGTTCGTGCTAAGCGAAAAAGTGCTAAAGGGTCAAAATAATGGAAAAGTGAAGGCTGCATTTCAGGTGGTAGTGGCAAAGTCAATTTTTTGTTGGTGCTTGGTCATCAACGTCAACATTAGATATCTAGCAACACAAGATATCTAGCAACACAAGTTGCCACGGTTTGTTAAAACACAAAGATAAACACATGAGTGAGTGGAGGAGTGCTGTGACCACACGTATTCATCCGCTCATGCGTATTACCACTGTTTTCACCAACTTATACCGCCGCACAAAGTAGTCCGCTACTTGATTATTTTCATGTTATTTCGGGGACAGTCGTGTTATTCGAAAAACATTCCCTAAAAAAAAAATTGTGCTATTGCGAAAACATGTTAAGCAGGAACGTGTTAAATGGAGTAATTACTGTACTTACAATTTTTTTTAAAGGAGTACTCTACAGCTAGAGCATATCACCCAGGGGAATTAGAATTCCCTACCCACACTTGCCTGGGCATAACATAGGCAGTAGCACACATACGTAAGATGCTGCATTTTTGCTAGCATGTGGCCTGATATATGCAGATGTCACTACTGCATTGTCTGATGCTGATGTAGTGCGAGTAAAACACATCCAATGGTTATTTATGCCAAGATCTTAAACATTAAATATATGGTGCTATCCAAGTTCATTTGCCCAAATAGGGGACTGTTTTTCAACATGACACTCACCAGAATCCATCGCCACTGCAGGTCGCTATTCTTTTGGAATCTTTATGACTCCAAGCAATGCAGAAGATTCCATTCTTTCCATGCTTCAAAAAATGCAAAATATGTATTAATAAGAAATAAATCACCTCTTTTTCCTCTTATTTACTTTCTTCTCTGTGGTTTAACTAGTAGGATTCAGCCCCACTTGCCCAAGTACAGCAAATATACTGTACTTTTATGTAATGAGTCCCTAGACCAGTTGGGCTACATAGGGTATGTGATCAAGAAAAAGAGAGTGTGGCCAGCATAACACTGTACTCCATTGATCCCCAAATATTCTTCACTATACATAAAACAATCTCAACTATACATATAAAATGATGGTGTCTAAATTAGCTATTATCACTCAAGAAAGATCTTGTGAGTCAGTGGATAGCTTGCGGAAAACATCCACTCAATGTGCAGCAGCAGTGTTGGGAATTATTAAGAATGGAGTAGATAATAAGACAGAAAATATATTGCGTCTACACAAATCCATGGTTCATGCACATCTTGAATACTGCGTGCAAACAGTCTTGACATTGGGGAAAGAAGAGGGGGAAAGAAAGAGATAACTGCTCTGGGGTCTAGCAGCATCCGGAACCCAAGGCCCTTTAAATAGCCACCAGAGTGCACTGTGGTATGTACATGGCAGCTCTAAGAGCTGGGGGAGGGTGGCTGCCTCGGCTGCGTCCCTTCTAGCTGAAGCCCACCCATTCCAAGGACACAGAGCAGGCTCCCTCCACTGAAGGGCCCGGCATAGCGATCAGCTCCCCTGCATGCAGATATGGTCATCCCCATCTCAAAAAAGATATACAGAAATTAGAAAAGGTTAAAAAAAGGTAACAACATTTATTAGAGGTATGGAATGGCCTCTGCATGAAGAGACATTAAGACTGGGACTTTTCAGACATACAAACATTGATCCAGCTTTATCTAGATCAGCACTAAAGGGAGCCACTTATGTTTAAGAAACCAAGCAAAATAAATTCATCTCACCTCACTGAATCGGGTTACCATTTTGCCTCTTGGGACATCCCAGATAAAGCCACCATTTCTGGAGGTTGCACCAGCTATGCAGTTCAAATCCCCTTTGAGAAACAGACATGAGACACATATTATAATGAGTACAATGTCAATATTATTTTTACATGTAAAAATTTGCCTGTTAATTAAAGAAATGGATAACTATATGATAGCAATGGCAGATCAGCAATGCATCTTCACAATTTGACCCCAAAATTTTGTTGGAACTGCTACTTCTGACACAAGGTCAGAAGCAGCAGTTCCAACAAAAACCTCATGTATTCTACCCTCCTACTCTATGCTCCACTGAGCAAGGTAAACCAGTATTGTCAGTTGCAGACATGAGCTGAAGTCCCATGGCATCTGACAGCAGGTTGTTTGAAACTGTAAATGCTACATTATGTCTAGTGCTTAAAGCTCAAAGCAACTGCTGAAAATTATGTAGTTGCATTTTACCTGTCTGAATAGCAGAACACAGAGGAAAAAGCATTACCTCTCTCATAACTAGGGTATCCCCAGGACAGATATGAGGACATTTGACCAATGATTTATTTTTTAAAATTACTTCCAGTCTTGGATCATCAGATTCCACTTCCACTACTTGGATCATCAGATCCCTTATGGTCCCCACTTGTAGTACTGAGTATTTAAAACACATTTGTGAATTCACCTCCACAGCACTCCTATGATGCAGGGAATTGTTACTGTATACCAGTGGCGGGGAACGTTTTTTGGTTGGGGGCTGCTGACACACAGAAAAATTAGCCAGGGGCCACACACAAATGCGAAGCAAAGAAAAAAAAAAGACAAACCCTCACTGATGTGGCCCCTAACTGAGAAGGAGAAAGACATTCTCCACATACCCCTCGCACATCAGAGCCTGGTGGGGTCCACACTAGTAAATTTTGTGTGCTCCAGTCCTACAGCAGGCATGGACTCCCCAATGCTGGAGGGTGGAGGGAGGGCCAGGAGGAAGCTCTGACCCTCAGGGGCTGGATGCAGGCAAGCCAGGGGCCACATCCGGCCCCCAGGCCTGAGGTTCCCCAACCTTGCCCTATACATTCTACAATGGAGAAGTAAGGCACTGACTCACCTTCACCCACACTGTTACTCAATCCCAGAACAGAAACTGCTACAGTTAACCAGGCACATCTAATACAGGAAAAAAAACCCACATGGTGCTATTGCCCTATTGCAGGGGTCAGCAACCTATGGCTCATAAGCCATATTGGCTCTCTAGGGAACCAGATATGGCTGTTCTGGAGTCCCAACTCAGCCTCTCCTTGCTCCTCCTGGAACAAGGTTTAACGGCTATTTCGAATGAAGGGCTTTACTTCGAACTCCCGTTTCACTGCCGCGTGTAGACGCAGGCAGTTATTCCAGGATAGTCAATTTCCAAAATGGCTCTGAGGGGTGGATGTTCTCCCTTAGGGCCTCCTGGATCTTGACAGCCCCGCGATGGACCCCCCTGGATGGCAGCCTGCAGCAAGTGCAGTCAGGCTGATGGCAACGACCCCACGAGATGCACCGGCATCCCAGGTGCAGCTCTGGCTCCATGTGGCTAAGTGCTGTGGTGTCCCAAGTGCGGGCACTCCAAGCCAGGACTGCTTTGCTGTCCCTCATCGAGATAGACAAGCAAGCAGGGAACCCTGAGAACTGTCTGTCCATGGTGGGGGTAGGGTCCCTTTAAGCACGGAGCTCAGTTAGCCTCAGGCAGCAGCTCCACACACTAAGTCCTAACCTGATGCCTGCCGGCACTGGTTCTGGCCAGCCTTAACTTTGGTTCAGGGTCCACTCAGTGTGGACATGCTATTTTGAAATAGCAAAATGCTATTTCGAAATAGTTTTTGTGTGCAGGAGCGTTATGTCGAATTAGCTTAATCTGAATTAACTATTTCGAATTAAGTTAATTCAAAATAGCGCTGTAGTGTAGACATACTCTTACATGCCTAACTGATATCACTGGGAATCTAAGTTAGAAGCACTGAACTACCTCCTTAGATGGTCTAGGGGACATATCTCACTAAATTTGATTAAGGTCAAAAGTTGCTCATAGGTAACCCTCAGATCCACATTGAATAAATAAAGAATGCTCTTGTATAGAATTCTCAAATCAGCCTCCATTCCAATGAAGCAAAACCACCCAGATTCTGGTGCAAATCAGGGTCTTTTACAAATTGCAGCCAAGGAAAGGGAAGGATTTATTCCATGGGCACAGACAGCTCCACATAATCGCATGTATGTTCCAGCTTGCCAACTTGAGAATTACAAGAGTATTTACTGGAATTCATCAAGTCAAATGCAGTTTGTGCATAAAATTTCCATCAACATAAAATAATATTTATTCCTAAAATCAAACACTCTTACCTGGAGCCCAAGAAAGAGAATAAATGACCCCCTCATTCCCAGGAGAGGTGTAGACTGCAGTTAAAGTGTTTATATCCCACACTTTTATTGTCCCATCGAATGATGCTGTAGCTAGAAGGTCAGGGTTATCAGGTTTGAATTTACAGTCAAAGATGGTTTCAACATGACCCTACAGTGACAGAACAATAATAATAATAATAAAAAAGAATACTAGTGCATTAAAGAGTTATTTCTTAAATAAAATAAGTTGATTTAATTGATAAACTAACTTTATTTGCTATCATTTTAACTCCAGTTCACTGTACTTCTCTAAAATCTTTACATCTATATTAACATTATATATTAAATACTAGAAGATTTATCCAGTATTGCTCAGGTCCTTAATTCATTTTTGTTTTTCCTCATCTAAATCATTACTCGGAGATGAGGCTGGGGATGAGAGGTTCAGTATACAGGATGCCCTGGGGAGAGATGACTATTCCAGATCTCTCTCACCACAGCAAGTTGGGGCCAGGTGAGAAATGCCTCTCCATGGCTACTGCCGCTCCAGTGGGCAAAGCCAGGGAGGGATGTATGTCCCGCAGCTAGGACAGGTCTAGGTTCATTTGCATTCTGCACTCCCTGGGCAGAGCAAGGAATGCAACAAACTGTGAACTTTTTCCTTGCTCCCTGACGAAGAATAGCCAGCAATCACAGAACGGTAGAATACTAGACTGGAAGAGAACTCGAGAGATCATCAAATCCAATCCCCTGCCCTCATGGCAGCACCAAGCACTGTCTAGATTATTCCTGATATATAGCTGTCTAACCTGCTCTTAAATATCTCCAGTGATAGAGATTCCACAATCTCCCCAGGCAATCTATTCCAGTGTTTAACCATCCTGACAGATAGAAAGTTTTTCCTACCTAAACCAACCTTTCCAACCTAAACCTCCTTTGCTGCAGTTTAAGCCCATTGCTTCTTGTCCTATCCTCAGAAGCCAAGGAGAACAATTTTTCTCCCTTCTTCCTGTGAGACACCTTTAGATACCTGAAAAGCGCTATCATGTCCCCTCTCAATCTTCTCTTTTTCAAACTAAACAAGTCCAATTTCCTCAGCCTTTGCTCATAGCTCATGTTTTCTAAACCTTTAATCATTTTTGCTCTTCTCTGGACCTTCTCCAATTTCTCCACATCTTTCTTAAAATGTGGTGTCCAGAGCCAGACACAATACTCCAACTGAGGCCTAATCAATACAGAGTAGAGCAGATGAATGACTTCTTGTGTCTTGCTTTCAATACTCCTATTAATGTATCCCAAAATCATGTTTGCAACTCCTTCGCCCGCCCCCCCCGGCTTGGTATCTGCAAACTTACTAACAGTACTCTCTATGCCATCATCTAAATCATTGATGAAGTTATTGAATAGAACAGGTCCCAAAACAGACCCCTGAGGAACCCCACTTCATATGCCATTCCAGCATGACTATGAAGTGTTAATAACTAAACTCTGAGAACAGTTATCCAGCTAGTTGTGCACCCACCATCTAAGTTGGATTTGCCTAGTTTATTGATAAGAAGGTCATGTGAGACCATATCAAAAGCCCTACTAAAGTCAAGGTATACTGCGTCCACCGCTTCTCCCTTATACACAAGACTTGTTATCCTATCAAAGAAAGCTATTAGATTGGTTTGACATGATTTGTTCTTTGCAAATATAAGCAAGGGCTGAACTGCTACTTGCTATAAGCCAGCTAAAAGGAGAGAGCTGCCATGGGGTGGGTGTGCCCACTACAATTGTTTAGCTGTGCAAGATAATTAACTGTTAATATGTAAATACAGCTCATGCCAGGATGGGGAGAGAATACGAGGTGTGGCTATGTAAATCCAGTTCAGCCAGGGCTGATGGAGGATCAGTGTTGGAATGGAATGAGGTTTATTGTAAATAATTTGGGGCTGTTGTGGGGGTCACAAATCATACTACCCCTAAATGTGGGAACTGTAAAACATTCCACCAGTGCTTGCAGGAGAGACACCATCATTGTAAGAGCTTAAAGGGCTTGAGTCAGCCTGATTCACACCTGCCAGGTGTGAGCTAGAAGTCTGACCCAACCTGCTCCTTTCCCCCTTTGTTTTAAGGACAGACCTAAAGCAGACTCCACGAGGAATCTTTTTGCTAGTCTAGTTGAAGCTGGACTCCTTTGCCAGTCCAGGTGGTGGGTGAAAGAGTTGAAATCATTAAGAGCTGAAATCACTGGTTTGTTTGGGAGCCAGACCCATTGCATCCAGCAAAGCAGCGGTAGCCAGCAGAGTGGCTGGTGGGAATCACTGGCCCGTGGCGCAGCGCGGCTGGTAGCAGCAGTGGCAGGCAAGAAGCTGCTGCAGGTGACTAGCGCTGCGGCGCGCCTGGTAGGAGCAGTGGCAGGCGACCAGCGGAGCATCTGGTCACGTGGAACGAGACAGTTGGCGGAGCGGCTCGTAAGGTGCCCCCATTTATCCCCCCACCCCATTTCTACCCAGGTTGGGAGGTGAAACCCTGTGGGTGAACTTTTGGACTCTGGGTGGCACTGACCAGGGACAGAGAGTTTTGGGGTGTCGGACTTTGGGACTTCGGGTGATTCTTGGCTGAGGGGATAGGAGGGGGGGACTTAGCTCATGTTTGGGTTATGAACTCTGTTGTAAGGTGCCCCCATTTATCCCCCCACCCCATTTCTACCCAGGTTGGGAGGTGAAACCCTGTGGGTGAACTTTTGGACTCTGGGTGGCACTGACCAGGGACAGAGAGTTTTGGGGTGTCGGACTTTGGGACTTCGGGTGATTCTTGGCTGAGGGGATAGGAGGGGGGGACTTAGCTCATGTTTGGGTTATGAACTCTGTTTGTGGTATTTTCTCAAGTTAATGCTGTAGGACTTCTTTCTCTGTTTCATTAAATGTTTCTTTCCAAAGATACAAATATCAATGAGAGAACACCTGAAAGTTAATAAGTGCCAACAGGTAGAAATAAATACAATCTCATACAACCTTTATCCAATCATAAACTGCAATGACCTTGAACCCGTTAAAATATTTGCTACTGGCAGGAAAAGCTGTCAAGCAAAACACTGAGAAATTGGTACCCTTTCCTACACAGTAAGTGCAGAACTGAAAGACTAAATATTTTATGATTTGTTTCATATGTTTTTTTTCCTCCCCCCTCTCTCTCTCTCCCTTTGCTCACAGGACTGATTGTTGCCACTCTGGCGATCTGTTGGATGCCCAATCAGATTCCTTCAGATATTTGCAGATGAATTTCTTAATTACCTGCTCCCTTATCTTTCCTGGCACAGAAGTTAAACTGACTGGTCTGTAGTTTCCGGGTTGTTCTTATTTCCCTTTTTAGAGATGAGCATTATATTTGCCCTTTTCCAGTCTCCTACAATGTTCTCATACAAATTAGGAATAGGGGAGCTTCAGTCGCTCCCTGCCATCCCTTGTCCCAGCTAGGGCAGGTCCAGATTCATCTGTCCCCTGCACTGCCTAGCTAAAGTGAGGAATGCAGCTTCCTGACAAAGGGGAACAGGCAGCAATGTTCCCATATGAATCAGGGGGGCTGAACCAGCCTCTTTCCCCTATCTGGTGATTCTCTCTCTTTTCTGTATGGTTTTATAAGAAGCTCAAATATATAGCAGATAGTTGCTCCTTTCTCTACCCCTGTTCCCCGCTGTCAGAATAGAGTTATAGCCATCTCAGTCTCCATCTCTGGCCCCTTGCTGCCCCCAGTGGTCATTATACTGGTCAACTGTCTCTACTTTCCATACCATATCCCCTGATAGCCTCATGTGGTCATTATACAGAAGAACCCTCCCTTTTCCGTTTTGTGAGAAACAATCCCATTTCAGGCATACGCCATTTTCCTGGGACAACCAATCCCTTATCTTGGGTTCCCCGAGGAGCCAACACTTCCTCACCCCCTCTGTCTTAAAGAGACAGAGCTTTTTTGCGTTGGGACTCTTTTTTTTATTTTCTCAACGAAAAGTGGTGGCAGGTCTTCTTTTGTGTGACAAATCGTGGTGGGAGGGCCTTTTTTTTTTTAAGACAACCCTAGAGGTTCTGTAGCCAAATAAAATTGGGAAACACTTCCTTAACTCAAATAATTTTTGTTTTTCTTCACATAAATAATTTGTTCTAGGGTGGGGCTTGCAATAAGGGGTTCAGTATACCCGAGGAGAGATGACTATTCCAGAACCTTCTCAACACAGCAGCTTGGGGCCAGGTGAGAACTGCCTCTCTATGGCTGCGACCGCTCCAATGGGCACAGCCAGGGGAGGGATGCATGTCCCCCAGCTAGAACAGGTCCAGGTTCGTCTGTCTCCTGCACTCCCTAGGCAAATCAAGGAATGAAGCAAATGCAGGGTTCATCAACTCTTGTAGAGATTTGCCTGGTTTTACAAAATACTACATGAAAAGCACTAGTGAAGTCAGTACAAACTAAAATTTCATAAAGATAATGGATTGACCTTACTGCTCTATATACTTACAATATTTGTATTCCAATTGATTTATTTTATAATTCTGTGAGAAAAGAAGAAAGTAATTTTTTAGTAATAATATGCTCTGACACGTTTGTATTTTATGTCTGATTTTGTAAGCAGGTAAATTTTAAGTGAGATGAAACCTGGGGGCACAGAAGTCAAATTAGACTCCTGAAAGTAGTACATTAGTCTGAAAATGTTGAGAGCTACTACCTTAAACTGTCAAAACACTAATACAGCACAGCTGTAATTCTTCACCAGTAGTGTAACACAATCCAGGATCAGGTGACAAGGCAGTAAAAATGACTTGTATAGGCCGCGTTAAATGGGGCGCCCAACTAACTCAGTTGGATATGGGGGAACACAACATCCTCAATGTGGTTGCAGCATGCTGTGTGCTGCACAACCTAAGGGAGAGGAAAGAGGAGGCCTTCCTCCCTGCATGGGGGACATGGGCTGATATGGAGGGCAGGCACTTTGAGCAGCCCTGGACAGCTGCCATCTGGCAAGCACACCAGCTGGGCTTGCGCATTCGAGAAGCCCTGAGGGAGCAATTCTCCCAAGGAAGTCGATAATTTTCCCTGGGCCTTCCAAATGTGGGACTGCTCCATGCCCCCGGTGCTTTCCTTCCCAAAACAGCTCCTGGCCCCAAATTCACACATTGTACTCATTCATCACACACTGAGAACACAGACAGGTGTTGGTGAAAAAATGTTTACATTTTATTTCACTGTTGGTTTTTGGAAAAACTAAAATACTCTTTTGTTCAGAAAAATAAAAGTGTTTGTAAACAAAGCAAAGTGCTTCCCTCAGTGATTCTCATAGGTGAGAAAGGGGAAATGTCAACTCGGAAGGGGGGAGGGAGGCTCAAAGCTGAAGGTGCTGCCTTGATGAAGAGCCCCTGGCACTTTGGATGCAGAGGCCTTCTCGCACACGGCCACGCATGCAGGCTGGGACAGTAGGAAGCTGCCAGGGGCTGAGGGGGGGTGGGGCAGGAGGAGCAGGACCAGGCATAAGACCGGGGAACTCCATGCCTCCTGGATAGTAGCACAAATCTCAGAGCATTGCTGGGCAAATTCCTCAAGCAAGTGCCTGCCCCATTCTGCCTCTGCCTCCATCCTCTGGTTCATTGCGTCCTACATCCCTTCCATGACCGAGATGTGCTGGCGAAGCAGGTCCAAATATGTGTGCCAGTGCTGACGGGTTCCCTGCAGCCATTTGGGTGGTGGTGCAGGTGTGGCACCCCTCCTGGTCAGCTGGTCCAGCTGTGGAGGACAAGAGGGAAAGTCATCAGTCATGCATGTTCACACTTTCCCTGAGAGGGCATGCCCTCTTTCTTCTCAGCAGTCAATGCCTGTCCTAGGATCAGAGGATGCTCATGTGCGTTTCACTAAGGCATGGTGTGGCCTGGCTAGCAGCCACGGCCTCCCTGGAGCCCAGAAAGTGAACATGCCACCATCCTGCCTCCCAACCTCCATCCCCACACACACCCCATGGCCAAGCAGCATAGACAAGTGTCAGACCACAGTTGGGGTTCCCACAGATTGCTGAGAGGCCTGAAGCTGTGAGGCAATCCCAGCATCCCCAACCCATGCCTGCACCTGGCATCACTGCCTGCAGGAGCAGGTGGTGCCTTGCAGCCATGCAGGTGCAAGGGTAGGATGGCCCTCCCTGAGAGCGGCCATGGGTGTGCCCCCCCCCGCAGCACAGACAGGCTACAGTTGGGGTTCCCACAGGTTGCTGAGAGGCCTGAAGCTATGTGGCAAGCCCAGCGTCCCCAACCCATGTCTGTACCTGGCGTCACTGCCTGCAGGAGCAGGTGGGGTCTTGCAGCCATGCGGGTGCAGTGGTAGGACGGCCCTCCCTGAGGGCGGCCATGTGTGTGCCTCCCTCTTCCCTCCCCGACTGTGATCAGCATGACATGTCACAGCACTGCACCATCCACTTTGCTCCCTCCTGCCCTGCCCTGTGTGTGTTGGACCCTCACATCACTCACCTGATATTCCCTCCCTGGTGTCCGAAGTTGTGTTGGAGGCCTCCTGAGCGTGGACGTCTGGCTCCTGGGTACTCCTGGTGCTGTCCTCCTCCCCCTCTTCCTCTTGCAGCTCCTGGACGTCTGCCTGGACTTGCGGCCGCTGCTGCACAGGGGTCTCTAAGCCAGACTCCACAAACATCTCGGGAAGCAGGGGTTCCCTTGCCCCCAAGATCCGGTCCAGGTCCTCGTAGTAGGCACAGTAGTATGCCATTTCCCCGGAGCGGGAGCTGCACTCACAGGCCCTGGCATATCCCTGCTGCAGCTCCTTCACCTTGGCTCTGACCTGGGATATGGTGCAGGGGTGGTGGCCTTTCCTTGTGTTCCTGTGCCTGGACTGTGGGAACTGAAGAACCTCCTCCTCAGACCACAGCTTCAAGAGGGCTTTTATCTCGGACCCAGACCCGGAGGGTGCCCGGCGTTTGGTGTCCCTGGCTTCCTGGGGGGATGTGTCCTTGGAAGGGCCTTGGGGGGCTGTCCCTGGGACATGGCTCCGAGTTTCCTGATCGGACTGAGCTGCGCAGTCTCAGGGTCCTGGCAGTAGCTGGCTTGCTACCAGAATAGTAATCCTACGTGCCTGTGCTTTTTAAAGATGGCTACAGGCAGGAACAATAGAGTTGAAAGCTGTGGTAGGAGTGTCCACCAGGGCTTCTTCCTGGAGGCTTTTAATGTCAACATAAATTCTTCCCTGCATCCACAGTTACCTTTTGTTGACAGAACTCTGTCGACAAAGGCATTATTTCTCGTAGAATGCGGTTTATCGCCATCGACAAAACTGCCGTGTTCTGTTGACTTACTGTCAACAGAACTTGGCGGTAATGTAGATGCAGGTATAGTTTTGTTGACAAAAGTCCACTTTTGTCGACAAAACCCTGTACTCTAGACACACCCTCAGTGTAATACAAAACTTTTGCTCCGTGAAAAAGCTTTGCTGATTTTAACTCTTGTCTTTGCTCATTGAAAAAAGACATTATGATGTAATTCTAATAGTTTTAGATTTTTGCATTACTTTCCATTTCTCTGAGACAGTTTAATAGTCTCTTTCACAAGGCTTACGCCAGCAAAACTCATTGGTTTCACTAGATGCTTTGTTTGCATATGGAATGAAGGATCACACGGTGAGACATTTGAAAACAGGCTTATTTGCTTGCTTGTGTAGGCTTTTTCAGTTAAGTAAACTGTTTTTCCCTCATCTCTCCTTTTTAGGCTTTTGGTTTTAGTTTTTTTTATATTAAATGTGACACAAAACTGCTTTTTTTTACCTCCTTGTTTCTTAAGAGCATCATCAGTTAATACATAGGCATTATTTGCAGCATGTGCTGGCTGAATAACTAACATGCATCATACAAAGAGTCTGACAATTATTATACATGTTCTCCTCAGCCATTATTGAAAAGGTAATTCTTCTTTTTTGTGAGGAGAGAGAGGAAATGAAAAAAGTTAAACTAATATATTTAAAATATCCCCCTCACTAAAGAATACTACTTTTGAAGGTACAGGCAGTCCCCGACTTACGCGGATCCGACTTACGTCGGATCCGCACTTACGAACGGAGCTTTCTCGCCCCGGAAGTCGGGGCGAGAAAGCCCCGTTTGTAAGCTGCTCCGGTGCCCCTGGTCTGCTGGAGACCGTCTCCAGCAGACCAGGGGCACCGGGCGGGTTCCCGCGCTTCTGAGGCTTTGCCAGAGGACCACAGGCACCCAGATTGAAGCGGCAGCAGCGGCGGTTCCCCGCGCCTCTGAGGCTTTGCTTGTGTGACTTCTTGCTGGCCAGAGTGGCAGCTGAAGTGTTTGTTGTGATAGAGGATGGACCCCAGACTTGGGCTGTAAGTAGCCTTATTTCTAAGCAATTCACCCTGATTTGGCCCTCTCAGTGGTGCTCCCAGACCCGGTTATATTACACATGTTCAGTGTAGGAAAGCATCCGAATGTTTTTGCACCAAACACCTCAGAAAGAAGTATTAGGCCAAACACCGGCAAAGGCTTTCTTAACACACTGACATTGACTTCAGTAGGATGCCTGATAGTACATCAGATTAAGCTAACAAATAAATCTTTGAAGGCTTTGGGTTTCGAGCTTCATATTCATCTTAGTGCATACACGTTTTAATTCAAAATGGGGGTCCTCGAGTTGCTAAAGTTCAAGAACTACTGCTCTAGGCTATAGAGGGTTCAAGAAGGTGTCTAATGGTGTCTGTGTTAGTGCCCCAGACATTTTAGGATAACTCAGCTGAAAAACAAAACCACCTTTACCTTCTTGCTTAGACAGGGCTATAGACAAGATGGAAATTCTTTGAATCTACACCAATGTCACTGGAAGGTTTGGGTCAATGGAGCTATGTAAAGTTTAACAGGATTCTCTCATTTTCTCTCCCAGTAGTTGTCCATCTTCCATTCCAAACACTATCCTGGCTGCAAGCAGGAAGGAGCGACCATGCTCGTCTTTCCCTCCCCCTCCCCAACTGGAGCAACAGTGAAGCCAGCATCCTGGCAACCTACTTTACCAAGGCCAGGAACCCACTGTCAAGCCTTCAATGAAGGCTTATTGATTAGCAACACTTGGCAAAGGACAGATTCTCGCACTCTCTTTGCCACTCAAAGAAGTAAGAAGTGCTTGCTCTGCCCCGGGCTTCCTGGAATCAGCTGCTGATCAGTTTCAGCAGCAGCTGACTTGGGGACGCCTGGGGTTCTTAAGTTGATTCTGTATGTAAGTCAGAACTGGTGGTCAGTTTCAGCAGTGTCTGAATCTGGACGCCAGTTCCGACTTACATACAGATTCAACTTAAGAACAAACCTACAGTCCCTATCTTGTACGTAACCCGGGGACTGCCTGTAGTTCAAATTTGCATCCTACATTATTTGGCAGTCTTCAACTTTTTAGAAGTTTCTAAATCTTCAGCCCTATGAAAGCTGTTTTGGCTGCACACTGCACTGTCAAACCTATGCTCAATCCTTGATTATTGTTCATAAAAATGTGGTATGTGTGTATATACATACATTAATGATTATTATTATTTCATTCAAAACATTGGACAGGCAGAGGAGACATACCAAATCTCTAAGGAAATCCCATTTCTTGGCTCCCATGTCATAAAGCCCCACTCCACCATCCATAAAACAGCAGACAGCATGGCCAGGAGGAAGAGAGAATGCTTGGTTTTGGGTTAGAGTTGGGGGTGGAACAGCCTCGCTGGTAGATGATGTATGATGATTTTTAGTAGGAGAATGTGATGAAAGTGCTTAATAAAAAGATATAGACATATTAACATATTTTGATTTCTTTCATATTTAAAAACAAATAGCAATTACATCACTTCACATCAGGGTTTACAATTTATTTGTGTATATGATGCTGACAAGTAGCAAGGTTTCCATGGTTAACAGGTGGGCCTGAGTATATCGGATATTCTAAACATCAACAGGAGAGCAGAGAAATTCCCTGAGAAAAATATTAAAGAAACTTAAAAAAAAAATAATAGGTTACACCATTTAAAGGGTGCTTTATCAGAATCCACAATTACTGAAAATTGTCTTCTTCAAAATAGTCAAGTTGATAGTGTCTCTCCAAAATCAAGTAAATGAAGTGATAGAAATTGATACTGGTAACAGAAAAATAGGGCCTGACATAAAACAAGAACAGACGTTAAAGAAGACCAGAATAATCATCTTTTTAAAAATGCTAGGTACCCTCCAGACATTCAAGAAGGGATAGACCCTCCTGCAATGAGACTGACAGCTTAAAGGAAAATAGGTTAGAAAAGCTTCAGAGGGGTAGCTGAATTAGTCTGTAACTGGAAAAACTTAAAAAACAATGAATGGTCTAGCACCACCTTAAAGATGAAACTGAAGAAGTGGGTTGTACCCATGAAAGTTCATGATACCATCTACATGTTTTGTTAGTCTTTAAGGTAGAGGTAAGAAGAGGTTAGCGAGGAACCAGAGGAATGTAATTGTATTCATTATCTGTAGCACGGCAAAAGTTGGTCTCTAAAAGTAATTTAAATATGGGTCTATGTCGTGGTAACTTGGAAGCTGTGCAATCCATAGAGGTTACACAGAAGAAGGCAGGGAGGTGAGTATGGGACAATAGTGAAAAATAACCAACTGACAGCAGAAAATCAGCAATGTGGAGGGGACAGGAACAATGTGCGCTGAACAAGAGAGGATAAGTATATTAAGGAAGCCAACGTGTAGACAACATGATTAACCAATAAGTCCGTTGACTACACGCATTTCCCACACACCCCCACAACTTGCTGCCTCTGTATCAAAGACAGCAAGAGGGAGAGAGGCAGGAGCTAGTGCCCATGGGAAGCCAGCTCCCTACGAGCACCAGATCCGCCTTCTCTGCAACCCCACGCTGCTGCCTCTCATAGAGAGACAGCAGTGTGGAGTGTAAGGGGAGCAGGCAGCATCTGTGAGATGCATGGGGAGCTGGCTTTTAAGCCTGCTTCCCACACATTGGCTCCCCGAACCCGCCTGCCCCTGCTTGTAGCAGCATTGGGGATAGGCAGGGGAGGCTGCTGCAAAGCAGCCTCTGTTTGCATGGAGCTTGGGCACCCCACAGACAGAGCATGCTACTACCCTGGGCTGCTGCCTCTGTATCAGAGGCAGCAGCACCATGTGACAGGCAGTAGTTGGTTTGTGTGAGGAGCTGGTTTTTAAAACTAATATAGAGGCAGCAGCATGGAGTGGCAGGGGGATCCCCAGGAGTGGGGCTGGGAGTGCACTGGCTGCCAGCCCTGCCTCTGGGAACTATTGAATAGCCATGTAACCGATAAAATTTGGTGTGGTTACAAGACTATTCAATTACACGCTATATAACATCCTTAAAGTAAATGGAGCTATGAAGGTGGAGACAAGAAACTTAAATCTGATGCAAAAGCAATCTAGCATCAAGTGTGACCTAATGAAGATCTCTGTACATTCTCACCAATAGAAGTTGGTTCAATAAAAGATATTATCTCACCAACCTTGCCTCATGTTGTCTACTGTGTTCCTTCTCCATAATGCTATTCTATAACCTTTGCATATTGTTATGAGGTATCTGTGATAAACAGAATGTATATTATCCTTCATTGGTGTTGGGAACAAGAGTATAATATTCCTAAATATGTGCCTTATAAGGAAGAACTTAACAAAAGGTTTAATCTGATAACACTTAATCTGATAATACTTTGGTATCAATAGCTGTTTTGATTACAGACTGCAGAAGTAGATCCAAAGTCAGGGAATTTTGATTAGGGTGTACAGAGTCAGACAAAGAGAACCAACTATATATTTTAACTTGCATCCATTGCAATGAATTATAACAACAAAATGTACACTTACACTTTTTCTTTGGAGGAGAATTGAGCACATGCAAACCATGGAACCCAGTTTTCTTCAGTTTAAAATTATCTATGGGGGTTGTGCGTGAAACATTCCATATACGCAACACTCCAACCTGAGAATCTGAGATTTAAAAAAAAAAAAAGTAGCTCCATTTATTAATGTCTCTTCTATATAAACAATGTACATAATAGAAGCAAGTTTCACAATATTACTTTAATATAGAGATGTTCATTCTTATAGAACAGTAGGTATAACAATCAATAACAGCATAAATTATTACGTATTGCAACCCACACTGGGGAGATTTAAACCTGGGACCTCTGGAGCTGAGTGTAGGAGCCTCAACAGCTTAAGCTATAGAGGCAGCTGGCGCTCAAGTTTACGCTGTAGATCTCACTTATTCTTATCAATTACTGAAAGTGTCCTAAGTGCTGCTCTGTGGGACAGTGAACCACACCCACTAGGTGTGTGGGATTCATATCATATTTTCTCTCCCTCTCCCTAACAATTCTCCCACAATTACCCCTTCACTATGTGGCTCATAAAGGAGAAAGGAATGAAAAAAGTGAGCTCTAAAAACAACAGAAAGGAAAGTAGGGAGAGGGGAGTGGTTTGCTTACTCCCATCCCTCAGCCAATTACAATCCATGCTGGTAAACTCATAATAAAGCTGTAGGCACCAAGAAAATGTTAAAGGGACTGCAATCAAAACCAAGAAAGTTTCTAGACATAAATACTCTTTTTCTCCATGAGAACAAAAGTGACATACCATATGGAAAACTGTTTGTACTGATTCTCTGTTCCTTTGTTTCATTTCATTTTTTCTAGAATATATTAAAATATTTCTGTTTCTATTGACAGGCAAATCAAAGGAGTAGAAAAATTAAGTATGAAATACCCATTTAGGAGAGTCAATGCAATATTTATAACCAATCAATAAACGATAACCAAAAAGTGCTACATAGTCCTGTATTTTGCAAAAAGAAAAGTTTACCTCCAGTAATAAACATTCCAGGAGCACTAGGAACCCAGGCTAAGCATTGAACTGATGCTGCTGCACTAGGAAAATTAAATGCTGTGATACAGCAGAGAGACTCAGAATCAACTAGTCGAATGCCATTATGTAAATTAGCAACAAGAAGATAGTCAGTAGACAGAGGGTCCCATTCCAGGGCTGTAACTGGATCCTCTTCGTCTGTTCCTTCAAGAGACTCTGGTCTCAGGACATGTTTCTGACTCTTTGAACCTTTAACAACAAAAGGCATCAGATCACCTTCAATTAGATATAATGTTTCTCAATTACAGTGATGTTAAGCATAGTTTTGTTATTTCCGTATAGGCTGGCAAGCCATCAATATTTTTCTCCATCACGTTCTGTAGCTTGTTGCACAAGCTGTATTACTGAAGCCAGCAAAGCTAATCCTCTGCTGTACACACTAACGAAGGTCATTCTGACTCTAGCGAACATTTCCACTGCTTCCTTTCTATCTTAATAATGGAAAGAAGAAGTGAAAAAAGCTGTTCATGTTTAGATCCTGCAAGCCCTTATTCATGGCTTTGCAGCATCAAGACCTTAATGCATCCTGTATACATCAGCCCATGAAATTACACTCTGCTGTCCTAGCAATGAGTGCAGTAACTTGTGTCATGATGGTCATTATCCAATATTATAGAAAGCTAGTGCTGATTTTTGATATTGCAAAAAACAATCCCACTCACAGATAACAATACAAATCTTTATTTTACAAAATGATGGAGTTCTAGTCAAAATAAATAAATGAACATGCTGTGCTTCTTCCCTAGAAAGAATGAATTCACTAATTAGCTCTCAAAAGGTAGATAAAAAGCTGAATAACTTTAATTTTGACACCTAGGAATATTATTAATTTGTCATATTTTGACAAACATTAAAAATTATGTTATTCCTTTGATGGATTTTGTTTAATGCCTGAGATAGAAAAGAAAAAAATCTAATCTCAATTATCATTAATATACTGAACCCATATTTCTGCTCACTGGGGAACATTTTTCCTTAGGAAGTAAAAATAACCGAAAATAATTCAGTAAGTGTGTTTGCTTACAGATGTATGGTTTTTATGAGGTAGAATTAAAACACCACCTGTTGCTCCTGCTGTTTGGGCAAACAATACATGCCAGACTTGATAAAAATGAATATACACATACACTGATAGACATTTGTGTTAATTTGTCTGAAGCCCACAGCTAGCAGCACATTGACATGGCATAGAGGACCACATGACAAGGGGTGCTGTTGTCCTTACCTTCAAAAATTCACATGCTTAGTGAAAAGCATAGTGTTAACCAGAGGCTTTTTTAAAAAACTTTATTGTTATGCAATAAGGAAAAGATGTATTTGAACCACCATTTAAATATGTAAGATATATTCCAAATTCAAAGATTCATAAATATAAAAAGATTGATTTTAAGATGAAAGTGGAATACAGGCCATACTTTTTGTGCAACTTAAGAGCGGGTAATGGGAGGACTTATAACACATCAGTTCCTAAAAGCGCCATGACTTTAGTGTGCAACAGACATATAGAGGAGCAACTTATAGCCGGGATGCCCTGTATAACATAAAGACCGTTTATGAAACTAAAGTTGAAATCTTACATAACAGTGTCTAAATTCTTCCACAAAGGCACTCGGGTTCAGTTCTGAAGTCAAATCACTTTCCTGCGACAGGAGAATTAGGTTTCTTTTTCTGTCATGGGTTATGATCATCCTCTGGTATAATAAAATCTCTCTATATTTAAAAAAAAATTTCCTCCGGGACAACAGAGTAAAGTCAGCATGTAACACTGTCTCCCGCAGGAAAAGTTTTCATCCTGCTGCTCATCCACCCTTAGCCATACAGCTTCCCCCATCGCTGACAGCCGAGGTGAAGGAGCAGAGAGACTGGAGAGACCAGTGGATTCTCTCCCCATCCTGACGGCCAGCTCTGGCAGTAGCAAGAAGAAGCGCTCCTTCAGCACTTCTGGGTATCACATTTTAAGAAAGATGTGAAGAAATTGGAGAAGGTCCAGAGAAGAGCCACAAGAATGATTAAAGGTCTAGGGAACATGACCTATAAAGGAAGACTGAAAAAATTGGGTTTGTTTAGTTTGTAAAGGAGAAGACTGAGAGGGGACACGATAGCGGTTTTCAGGTATCTAAAAAGTGTGTCATGAGGAGGGAGAAAAATTGTTCTCCTTGGCCTCTGAGGATAGGACAAGAAGCAATGGGATTAAACGGTAGAAAGGAAGTTTTAGGTTGGACATTAGGAAAAACTTCCTAACTGTCAGAATGGTTAAACACTGGAATAAGTAGCTTAGGGAGGCTGTGGAATCTCCATCTCTGGATATATTAAGAGCAGGTTAGATAGACATCTACCAGGGCTGGTCTACAGCAGTGTTTCTTAAACTTTTTAAGACCGAAGAACACCAAACAATATTTTTTTTTAAATGAAGAACACCAAGGATTTTTTGTTGAGAAAAAAAAAAAAAGTCAGGGGGAACATTATTGAGCAAAAAAAAATTTAAGAAAAGGTCACTTGCCCCTTTAAGGGTGGCAATTTTGAACTCTGTGGTTCTCCGTGGCACACCGGTGTGCCACGGAACACAGTTTAAGAAACACTTGTGTACAGTATTGGGTCCTGCCATAAGGGCAGGGGACTGGACTTGATGACCTCTCGAGGTCCCTTCCAGTTCTAGTGTTCTATGATTCAGCAAGTGGCTGTTTTGGGGCTGGGCTGGATGGATCAGAATCAGCCTGTTTGCTCAGTGGCTTCATGAGCTAGGAGCTCAAGACCCTTTCCACCCTGTCACACTACAACACTGGGCCCGAGGTGTCCTGGAGTCTGCCACCACCACCTCCTGACCCCCACCTACTGGTTGCTCCTGCCAGAGGTGGCCCACAGCCTGGGCAGCTGCTTCCAGGGGAAGCTGGCGCAGAGCCCTGAGCCGGAACCACCACCCGAGACGGGTGCTGCAGAGGGAGTGAGAGGTGGGCAGGGATAAAGCTCTGAGCCTTGCTGTGTAGGG